GATGTTTCTTCATTGTTTTGTTCTCACTGAGCTGAATATTATAGTTATGAGGCTTTCATCTATCCCGCTAGACAGTAGCTTCATCGATAACTTCACTAAAAGTTAAGCACACCATAATTTAATTAGAATGAACGACAGTAGGGGTATTAGCACCAATTCTGAGAAGGTGGTGATACAAGTAGTAATTTTTTGAATTACTTTTTCTTAATCTTTTGCATTCTGAGTGAAAAACAGGGCTCCAAGATCGACATTTGGATTTTCAGCATCAGTGGTGTTATTCTTTTCGTAGTTGGGGAGGTGGGTGAGGGGTTTAGTTCTTAGACCCACGCCCAACCTATGCTCTTTACTGGGCTTACTATCGACTAAGGTGGCATAGCGGTTAGGATGCTAGCCGACCATTCACATGGTCCGGGATTCAATCCCCGGCCGGCGCACCCCTATAACTCGCTAAGCCAGAACTAAAAGCTGGTGAAGAGGAAAGGTTGGGCATGAGGCTAGCAACCCCATCCTGTAAAATAAACACTGCTACAGAAACTTCAAGCCTCTAGCTTGGAGCCCTATGTTCCACTGGGAACGTGAACGAATAAAAAAAATTATCGACTAAGCGAAGTTTAGGAGTGCATTCGTCAAGACTTGGACCCTGGATAACATGCTTCAGTTGATAGAATACTGAAGGCTGATGATCCTAATCCTGTCAAGATACACATTTTCCCTCCAATTCCACTTATTACCATCATCAACTTAAGTATTAATCTTTCAAATTGAAACCAGTTCACACAATCTGACTAGTAAAATAATTAGATGATAGAAAAAGTCAATTTCTTTTTATGAAGACGTGAATCTTCAGCCTTCAGTCTAAGATTGAAGAACAATACGAATACAGTCTATTCAGAAATTATATATCCTCTTGATTTTTCTAAAAACAGAAGTATGACAGATTTGAATGGCAGTAATCTTTAGAGTTCTTACTTACATCTCCGTTAAGCCAATCTGTATAATCATAATACCTCGTTTCTGTTTCGTTAAAACTTTTTCTATATCCACCTTGAAGGAACTTATTTTAAGATGTACAATGAATGTTCATTTCTTATTCAATAAGGAATATTACAGGCAAATTGATGGTGTAGCTATGGGTTCCCCATTAGGTCCAATCCTAGCTGATTTTTTCCTCGCTAAATTAGAGAATGGACCCCTGAAAGGAGTAATTAATGACATGGATTTCTACTGTTGATAAATGGATGACACATTTGTGGTTATGAAAGATGAAAATGATGCCATGAATATTCTTGACAAGTTTAATGATGCACACTCAGCAATAAACTTTACCATAGAGAAAGAAATTAATGACAGTATCTCATTCCTAGACTTCTTCATGGCAAGGAAAGATGATGGCGCACTAAGAAGGAGTGTGTATAGGAAACCTACAACAACAGGTCAGTACACTCATTTTTTGAGTTTTGTACCTTTGAAATATAAACACGTAACCTGGTAAAGTGTCTGGTTCATAGAGCTAAGTTAATCTGTTCAGACGACTGCCTCAATGACGAGCTCAAGATTATTAAAGAATTACTTAGAAAAAATGGTTATCCAGATAAATTTATTGAGAAGAATATGAATTCAGCACCAAGGAGAGTCAGTATGGCTGCAGTTCCGAAGAAACCAATGTTCCTAAAATTGCAGTTCCTTGGTGACAACATCAGCGAAATCATAACACAGCGCTTGAAGAATGCAGTTAAAAGAGCTTATTATGCAGCAGAAGTACGTTGTCTCTTCAAAACCACCCCTATTCGATGTTCCAGAAATAAGGATAAAGTACCTAAATTTGCCTCTTCTATGTGTATCTACCAGTTTGACTGCAGCTGTGGAGCCAGCTACATTGACCGTACAATTAGGCAGTTTCATCGTCGTATTTCTGAACATCATCCAGCGTGGTTAAGCAAGGGACAAACAAGATCTATTCATAGTTCTGTTTTAGCACACCTTGTTGATACTGAGCACAAGGTTGATGTGAATACTGCATTTAAAATTATTTATCGCATTCCGACTAGTCATAATTTTGCTCTACGAGTTCGTCTTCTACAGACAGCTGAAGCAGTCGGAATCCACCAGAAGAAACCAAGCGTATGTGTACAGAAGAAATTTGTACAGCCACTTTCCTTACCGTGGCCATCGTTACAAGACAGGACTACGTCGTCCTTCTCCCCCTTCCCCTATTAAATTATAACTGTCCAAATTATTTTATTTTTATTTTGACCACTTCATTTTAATTACGTATTATTCTTGTAAAATTAATCTATTCTATCCATTTCTACTTTTAAATGTGTATTGATTTTCTTCGTTAATTATCAACCCATTGACATTTTGACACTGACTAATTATTGTTAACAAACATATCAGTGCCACTTGTTTGGTAAACTGTTGTGTATTGGAAAAAATGCTATATATATATTAGAGTAGAGCCAGAGAAGAGGATCTAATTGAAAAGTAAATATTTCTTTGCTCAATCTTTCTGTTTTCCAAAACTTTTGTTGTCTCTTTTATCAATCTAACAATACTATGATAAAATTGTATCCTGCATGACAGATTTACAAGTGGAAAAAATTGAGTGAAATTAAGAATGATAAATCAACAAAATAATTTTCAAAACGATGTTGGTCGACTGGTGAACAGACAATTAGTCCTGTAATGAATCGAACTGGATTTTCAACGAAGAACTTTGCACTAATGTACGACAGTTCTGTTTATCACACCTCATTAAAGGACAAATAAAGGTAGGAGGGCGAAATGCAGAGAAACCATAATAAAAAGAAATTTACTAGAGAGAGAGAGAATAATTACATGCGGAATAATAAAGACTTACTAGGTCTAGGAGATCATAAGGATTTTATATACGCGTTCTATGCTGAGGTATTGTCGGGCACAATGACACCACAAGCTACACTGGCTAGAAAGAATGTTCTTGTACGTCCGCCCTACTTTCACCGCAAAGATGGTTTGGAAATCGTTTTGACTAAAATCAATTACTAGCAAAGTGTCACTTGTTTACACTTTGTTTCAGAGAGGTCTGAAGATGAAGTCTTAATGTTTGAGAAGAGGGATATAATAGCAGTAAGAGAGAGGTTCCCCTCAAACGTTCAGCAGGCCAATTATGATACCTCTGCGTATTCGGCTGTACAGTAGCAACTGCAAAATCCTCGCTAAACGGGGAGTGTATACGACTTGATTTAGGCAGCTGTCCCTTTGTGCTCTGCAGTCACGCAGTATTTTAAGATTAAACCGGATTTCACAGTGTGGGCGACTAAAAAAGTAATGACCACTTACACGTCTCTATAAACACTTTTTTCCTCTATAATATATAATAGTAAGTTTTGACATAGTATTACCTGGTGAATGTCAAAAAAGGGTTTTGGTATTCATGAAGTTATTTTGTCAGCGACTAGTAGATCAAGAATTATTACTATTGTTTCCTTTAGTTCCTAGAAGAACATAGGGCTTCAGCCAACCGTCTCCATTGCGTTCGGTTCTCTGCTAGAGTCTTCACCTGGCTCCATGTCTGCCCACACATTTTCATATCCTCTTCACATGACTTCCTCCAAGTCACCCTTGGACGATCAACTCGCCGCATCCCTTTCGGGTTCCACTGGAGCAATGGCTTGTCCAGTGATGTCACTTGATGGTTTCCTCAGAGTACGGCCAGCTAATCCATCTCCATTTCTTCGTGCCTATTTGTTTCACAATCGGTTCCTGCTGAGTTGGTTCGCTCCCAGAGATCCCTGTTGCTGATCTTTTCTGGCTGGCCATCTGATCTTGAGTATTGAGTGAAGGCAGTTGTTAATGAAGGTCTGTATTTTGTTTGATGTGCTCTTTATGACGCGCAGTGCAAGTCTCTGATCCGTATAGTGAGTAGCACTGACTGACTTCACATTGGAGTTGAAAATCTACATCTAGTCTTTCATGCTGAGTGCTGTTGACCTCCACACAGACTTGAGAGTAGTGAAAGCTTGTCTTGCCTTTCCGATTCTTGCTTTGATATCCTCGTCAGTTCCGCCGGCCTGTAGTTGAAACGATGCTTCCCAGGTAAGTGTGAAGGAGGTTGTTTCTTTCAAGTTCCTCCCAGTTATGCTGTTTGTCAGGAATCTTCATCACCTCTGTCAACTCTATGTTCACCTGAAGTGAAGTACTATCTTTGATGCTTCTTCTGCCAACTTGTTGCTTTTCGCTTGCATATCTTCCTGTCTGGGGGAAATCAGACATATATCATCGGCGAAGTCCAGATCCTCCAAGTTTTTTGTGTGGATCCATTTATGCCTATTTCCTCATTGCCTGCTGTTTGTCGCATTATCCAGTCTACTGCAATCAGGAAAATCATTGGCGATAGTAGGCAGCCAGATTGTCTTACTCCTGTCTTCACTTCGAAGGATTCCCTGAGTTTCCCGTTATGGATTACTCGGCATGCAGCACTGTCTTACAACTGTTGGATGAGATGTATAATTGTTGGCGGCACCCGTCGGTAGTAGCGAAGTAGTTGCCAAAGCACCTGTCAATCGACGCTGTCGTAGATCAAGAATAACTTCTTAGATAAATTAAATGGCCAGTAAATTTTATTTATCCTAAAGATGAGTCTGAGTTAACTATTCATGGATCATGTTTTACACTTAAAAGATACTAACCTTATGTTTGACATACCTGTAGGTTTCCTAAATATAAACAATAGGCTGTATTTTAACTATCCTTATCTCAAAGATCGTCAATCCGCAACTCCTAAACAAGTAAGAAATTTTGAGTATGGTGTCCTGTTTAGCATAGCATGCTTTCTTAGAACCTTACACAAAGCTGGACATAAGACGAATTTTGTAGTTTCTGCACCATGACTAGTCTGAAGCATGTAAGGGGACACAGTCAAGCTGTATGGTACATTTTTGTAATATTGGTGGAAATTCCTCAATTTTCACTCATCTATATATACATATATATATATAAACGTTAAAAGGTTCTCATACCTCATACTTTCAAGTTCTTCAGCACATTTTCCAACAGCCTTAGTTGTATTAGTTAACAATTCTTGATTTGTTCTTGTTAGCAGGGCTACCAAAGGTGCAATCCCACCAGCTTTACGTATAGCACTTCGATTGGCTGCATCTTTAGCCATTTCACCAAGTGCACCAACCACATTTACTAAAACCTAAAATAGATCCAGTTAAACACATTGTTACGAGAAATAAACCATATGAAAACACAAAAAAACATCAAGATCTTCAAAACAAACATTGCGTGGCACTAAATTTATCTTGAACCTTTCCCCGGCAACAATTAACTGGAAGCTTTATTGAAATGATTCTGCAAAAATAGATAATCATCAAGCTTTAATACACCATTATTCGTTGTCGACGTCCCAGATATTCACTCGGTTTTCTATCAGTTGAAGAGTCTATTTATTAACGAGAATGACCACTTTCCTTTCTGATAGTTAGAAAATATTATATTTCAAGGAAGTATCAAAAGTGAAGTAATTTGGAAACTCTTTCACATCTGTGGATTGCGATTCCCCAAACCTTTATCAGTCACATTCAACAGGTATGAAGTGATGCCACATGTTGAGCGATTCACAACGAAAAACTCAGCAAAGCCTTCCGAATGAAGACAGGAATAAGATACAGCTGTCTACCATCGACAATGATATCCTTGATTGTGGTGGACTAGATCACGTGGCAGGACATTAAGACCTGCTGGCTGGCTGGATTCAACATAGAACTTGGCACCGAAGTGCAGCAGTTCGAGTCGCCACGTTCCAAATAGCACAATAAGATAGACAAGAAAATGAGTGAAGAGAATCAATAGAGTTTTGACAAGTATAAGAGTGAAACAGAATGAGCAATGGTAGAAAGGAATATGAGACTGAATATTATCAGAGACTGAATACATCTGCGTAAGCCATTGACAACGATTTTGAGCCATGTCACATATTGTCTCCAGTCATTGATTCTTAGAGTCCCGAGGGCGGGCCCCAACCCGGAAGTCTGCATCTCCCTACCTGACTCAGTTTAACTGTCAGGGATTTCATGGATTGATGCCATGTTTTTGTTTAGTATGCCACCACTTACTCTTTTCCAACCTGCACCTATATCAGCTAGTAATGCCCGTCCGTCGGGGGAGACGATGGTTAGGCATGAGCAGCACGTCACCTAACCATCTCAATCTATGTAACTTTATAGCCTCTTCTCTTCGATTGATTTTCCCTCTTTGCCCAACACTCTACGCCTAACGTCAACATTACTTACCTTATTATGCCACCTAACGTGAGAAAGAGATCGTAGACATCTATGATCAAAAACAGTCAACCTTTTCATGTCTTCAACTCGTATTGGCCATGTTTCAGAGCCATAGAGAAGGACGGAGCGAACTACTGAGCAGTACACACGTCCCCCTTGGTTGACAGTCGGATGTCACGCCTACGCCACAGACGGTGTAAGTTCGCGAAAGCAGCCCGAGCTTTTTGGATCCGTGCTGACCTAGAAGACGGACACATATTGAACTGAAAAGAAGACACTAAAATAATTGGACTTCGCGACCGATTTATGTTTAATGTCATACAAACTTGAAGATCTACAGGCAAAAGCCAACCAGTTGACAGAAGAGGTAGTCAGTGAAGATACGACTTCAAGTGAACACACAAAAGACAAAAGTAATGAAGACAAGCAACCAACAACAACAACAAATACCAGTCATTATCGACGACAGGAATTTGAAGGAGGTGACATAAGTAGCACTGTTTCAACTGCAAGCAGTAGAGGTGAGGTTGTCAAAGCCAGTTGAGATCGGAAAAGCAAGACAGATCTTCATTACTCTGAAATCTGTGTGGAAATCCTCTGTACTTGACAGCAGCAGGGAACTCTAGTAGGTAAATAACCTAAGAATAACCTATTACTCAACAAATATGCAGGGGGAGATGGAGATGGATTGACACACGCTAAAGAGATCGTAGAGTGACATCAGGCTCTAGGCAGTCCCTAAAGTAGAACTTGAATAACAGTGAACGGTTTGGGCGTTTTTCCGAATGTGAGATGGAAGAGATCGTGTTAGGAGGAAACTGCAACTTATGGGAAATCGTCAAGCGTGCTGATATAAATTACAGAGGAAAGGGTGAAATGGAAATGTGTTGCTGAAACCCTATGTTCCACTTGGAACCCAGAAGAATAATAATGGGACTAAAAACACCAAACCAAATTATTCTACTACTGTTCAAAATTCATTGTATATCTTGTATTCTAATGTAACTCTTTAACATATATTTGATTTGTTTAAATATTTGAATTTTGTATATTTAATCGTACACTGAATTAATAAATGAACAACAACATTAAAATGTATCTGATTAAATATTTCCTAAAAACAACTAGTTGAAATCAACGCCATAAAGTTTTCTCTTCTAAACTAAAACGATGCTTATTAAATAAGGCAATATAAACAGTAAACAATTAAAACAAAATTGGAACATTGAAGTTATGAATATTAAATATCATGTAAAATGGTTTCCTGGATAATTGAACACCCGCGCCTAAATTTGTTTGCATTCTTGTAATAAAATTCTAATAATATAAAAAGGAACAGCAAGATTTTGTAGCGATAGTCTAAAGAGTAGCTAAATTGATCAAAGCGAAGTATTTTGTAACTAGATAACCGGCTTGAAATGAACTAAGGATTGAATAATGTAAAAAAGATATTTACTGTATATTCCTAAAAATGTTCAGTGATCAATTAATTTTTTTCAATCAAACAAACGTGGACGCCATGTAACAAAAGATAACAGTCCGACTCATTACTTTATTGCTCTTGCTTTAAACGAACTAGAACGAAAAGTTACTGATTCTACGACGGGATATTTAGGAATAGGTGTATTACAATTGAAGAGAAAGGAATTTAGGGAAAAGGATTTTCATGCATTGGTTGGAGGATCTCATCATCAGCTGACATCAGTTAAAGAACCATTGGAAAACCAACTGGGAGTACTGGGAGGCTGTTTCGTCAGCCTAGTTTGGGACTCTTCATCAGTACGCACCCACCGGGGTTCGAACCTAAGACCTTCTGGTTAGAAGGCGAGCTAGTAGACTTCTGCCAATTCAGGTATCTTTGGTGCGCAGTGTAATGAGTCTTTTAACTTCTGGTATTTAGAACATAACATATCCTCAGTCTCCCATGGCCAACAAACGAAAGAAGAAGCCACATTTTAATGGACAATTCGTTCATATATATATATATATATATATGCTGATGGTGAGACCATGCAAGATATTCTTAGCTAGGCTGACTGTTCCTGATGAAGTGGGTAGATCGACGGACTAGAGTAGTTCAGCTGGTTCCGACCCCACCATGACCTACATATTCATTTAAACACAGCAATATCTTAGGTCTAATACTTCAATCAATTTCTTCTACTGTTTGAACTGTTCAGTTGGTAAATATGTCGACTATTTTTACCTCTAGAAAGTGACCAGATAATATTCAACTGAACAGTAAAAATAAAATAAACTTAAATGACAAAATGAAACATTTGAACACTCCTCATTTTAAGCAAAAGTAACAAGACTAACAAGAACAGGAACAACAACAACAACAGTAGTAACGAGTAATTAACAATAAAAGGTTAGAAAAGTAAATTTCACAACTATTTTCTTTAAAAGGTAACCAATATGAGAAAAAAAATCCTTTACTTTCTCAGTTCTTGCAACTAATTGTATTCTAGGTGAGACTGAATCAACATAGAGATAGTTGTTCATCTGTTGAAAAAAATTATTTTATACGAAACAAATAATGGTAGCAGTTACTGTGAAATACATAAATATATATGGTAACACCAGACAACTATTTAGGCTTATCAGGTGGCAAAAGGCAAATGATAAGTGAAACAATCTCGGAGAAAAATGGTACCATAAGTAGCTCCCAGGATAGAAGACTGGAACGCTGGAAATGACACTATTAGGAGTAGTTTAACTGGCCTACAGCCACGCTCAACCTACCGAACATTCAACACCTCCCTGAATGGAATATAGACACAGGTCCTCCGTCCTTAACTGAGGTTACTAAAGCTGTCACTAGTCTGAAACAAGCCAAAGCAGCAGGACCTCATGGAATGACTCCAGAAGTATTTAAGTACAGTGGAGGTACTAGGCAGCGTCTGGGAATCAGAGGAAGTCCCATCGGGTTGGTGCAAGTCACTGATTATCCCCACATACAAGAAGGGAGACAAGTCTTCCTGTGATAATCACAGAGGGATTAGCTTGACTAATATAGTATCTAAAGTCCTAGGCTCAATAATATTGAGTAGACTAAGTGGTGCTCCGGAGGCACAAACACGAGAAAACCAGGCAGGTTTTAGGCCAGGAAGAGGGTGTATTGATCATTCTTCACCCTCCGACAGATTCTAGAACATAGGCATTCCTGCCGGCTTCCAACAATCATTATATTTCTTGATCGAAAGGCGGCATTCGATTCTGTCGACCGAGAGGTACTCTGGCGATGCTTGGCTGTAAAGGGAATGCCGAGAAAATATATTGCACTGATCAAAGCACTCTACTCGTACTCATGCAGCCAGGTGAGAGTTTACGGTGAGTTGTCATCTGAAGTGGTGACGACTAGTGGTGTCCGTCAAGGATGCCCATTATCCCCATTTCTACTCAATTTCGTCATAGATGTTCTAATGGACTTAGCCTTAACTCACTTCAGAGACTCAGGGATTGACTTGCTACCAGGGAATAATCTCGTTGACTTAGAATATGTAGACGATATAGTCCTTCTAGGCGAGGACGCTGACAAAATGCAGAGTCTTCTGAACACCTTGAGCTGCAATCTTCGTATGTTTGGCATGCGATTCGCCCCTGTAAAATGTAAGATGATTCTGCAGGATTGGACTACACCGACTCCTAGATTAGAAATAGGAAGTGAAGTGGTAGAGCACTTTGACCGCTTCACTTATTTGGGAAGTACCATAAACCCCAACGGTTTGATCTCTGACGAAATCTCAGCACGGATACAGAGGGCTAGTGTCGCATATGCCAGTTTACGCCGTCTCTGGCGTAGACGTGATATCAGGCTATCGACCAAAGGGCAGATGGTTTGATTGCTAGGCTTTCATTGTCTTTCTAAGCAACATCTTCAACACGGAAAACATCCATCTGAGCTATAAAA